TTGGCAGTCAATAGGCCTAAAGCCCAAATAACCCACTGGTAGCATTGCAAAGTGGCCTAATGATTCAATAAGGTCGATGAACTAAAAATACCCACCCCCTAAAAAAAATAAAAACTGGTAGTGGACATCTAGACATTTCCTTGATACTGGTGCATATGAAAAATTTCATTCCACACATGGATTGAAAAAATTAGAGGGAACATTGATTACTACTACTTCTAAGTTCAAGATCAACTTTTGTTTTGCTGAAGAACAAATGCAATTTTGCTGTGTATACCAGACAAAATTTAGATATTATATCTATTGAAAGAAATGATAAATTTATTAACTCAGTACTACATAAACTAGACTCACATTTATAAAACTATTTTATACCTGATGTCCTAGGTGAGCATTTTTGTTTTACAAAGATAGGAGCATAATTCTGTTAGCTCAGTGTGCATGGGTTGGGGTCAAAGTGCTTATGCCACAACCTTTTACAGAGTGCCATTCAATATGATATTATGTATTTGATGTCAGAGCTATCATCTATTCATTTCACCCCACACTGCTGATTTAATGTCAGCTCATCAGTGCTCACACTTAACTCTTTTTTTTTTTTTTGAGTCAGGCCCCCAAAACGTGCAATTCTGATGAATTCCACCCCCCTTCATCAGAATTACAAAATTCCAATACTTGTCTTTGGTTTCGTCTGTTGGTTCAAATTGTACACAAATATTCTAATTTCAGTTATATTAGAAATGATGGAAAAATACTTGTTGATTTTAATACACCTATGAGATTATCTTGATAGTGGCATTTGGACCCCTCTTAAATTCCTGGATCCACCCCTTGGAGGTTATCAGAAAAATTGTTGAATTAAATAGTGGATGTAAATTGAAAGGAAACTAAAGATATCAACATATCTGAATTTATTTTGTTGTGAACTCGATTTGATGAAAAAACAAGTCAAACCATTTCATTTTATCAGGTCACTTAAATAATGTTTATTTCATATATGATTTTTAATTTATCTGTAAAGTATGGTATAATAGTAACATTTTGTTCCCCTTTAAAGTAGTGTCCTTTCATAATCAAAATAAATAATGATAGAAAATCTTTGCGTCACTGTGAGTGTAATCTATTCTTAATCCAATATAACCCACTACCATCTAGCTGACACGTATATCTCAATGAAATGTCAAACACTTTTGGAAAGATAGAAAAATCATGCTATTTATATTACCACTAACTTTATAGCAATCAGTTCTTTCATATTCTGAAACAGCTGTTGATTAGTCTTTTATGAATTTGAACTTGTAATAAGCAAAAATCCTCAAATTAGCAACATATGGAAACGTCCAAATATCTCTAAAATGGCTTAGGTGGTGATGAGTTAAACTTACGTTAGTGTCCTTTGTTAATCAAAATAAATAATGAAAGAATTTCTTTTTTAGGATAACCTACATTTCGTAGATATTGCCACATTGTTGTTGCAAAAGGACTTTGTATTTAAAAATAAGAGTCTATCCATGACAGACCAGTGTTGCCAAAAGATATTCAGTCAAAGTTGCAGAGAACACGGTATAAAAGTCAAACGAATCACATAAAAATCCCCCCAAAGTTAAAATTTTCTTTAATGAAGAGAACCAAATGTTGATGATCTGAAGAAAAGAATATAACAGAAAAAAGGCAATGGGACCGTGAGTATGAAAAGGAAAAGAGGAAAGGTCATTACAGGAGCGAGTGGGAGAGGAATAACAACTGGTTAAACAATAAAGAAGACAGTGGAATAATATTCTGTAAAATATGTCGAGAAGAAAATGTGGATCTGAAAACTATTAAATTATTAGCAATGAATAAAATGTGAATCTGAAAACATTATTAGGGATCTAATAGCATGAACAGCCCGTAATTGTTCCTCACAGATGTTTCATGCCGATTTGAAAATCTGTTGACATAGCAGTTAATACACCCTTCACTAATAGACCAATAATAGTTTTCAGAACACCACCTCATGATTTGCCAATCATAGCTGGGTATCTAGCCCTATTCGTTGGGCAAGCATTTATTGTAACTCAAATTGGGCCATAGCGCAGAATTTATGGAAATTTTCGAGTTTTTTATTTTTTTAATGAAGCATGTCTCTTAAAACATAAACCAAAAAAATATACTATATCAGAAAAGTTCAAAAATGCCTGAAAAGCATCAGCATTTTTTGCACTGAAAGACCAATACTCTTACTGGAAATAATAGATCTAATCTTTGGTTTCTAAAGTTATTTTTTCCATCATGCAATTTATTGTTTTTAATAAATGCTTATATAATGCAAATGTTAAATTTTTACAAACAAAACAACTGCCAAACATACTAATCCTATTATTGCAAAGCCATACCAGGTGAGACTAGACTCCAAGTTTTATGCCAGGAATTCTTCCTCTGCATAAAACGCATTCTAACAACTCGTCCATAGGGCAGTAACATTTCTTTCCACAGATGTACTTCCTCTTTCATTCACAATTTCTAATTAAAATGTTTCCCAGGTGTTTAGTGCCGAGCATGCTAACATTTTCACATGTCAGTTTCACAAGCCACGGAGTTCTGAACCACCTAGCCTTTAAACAAGGAGCAATAACTAAGCCAAAATCAATAATCGTGCCTCTGATGTAATCAATGCCATAACCCAAGCCATCAAAGAAGCAATCCCTAACAAAGAAACAAATCCTGATCTACGATCCTGGAAACTTACTCCCAAAATTCATAAATTAATAATTATCCGCAGACAACTCAGACATGACTTCATACGAACCCATGACATTCCCCTTAAACCACTCATTAATGCCTTGAATATAATCCTATTAAGAAACTAATATTACAACAACAAAATAAGTACAAAAGTAATTTTATTTTTCACATGAGCATCATATTGCACTCCATTTATAGTCTGAGTCAGGCTGATGTCATCATTTCACAGACATTTTGAGTACAAATACTTTTGTATTACATCTGATTTTTTGTGTACAACAGACTTATAAATTTTGCTCAAAGCTTGCAACATTTTATGTCGACAAAGATAGCAAATTCATAATTATATTCAACATTCCCTCTCCAATATGATTCCATGCACATTATCAGGAAGACATAAGAAAATTAAATTCAGTATTTCTGTTTTACAAAATTGTTTATCAGTCATATTTTTATACACTTTTTTGGTATAATACAATGTCTTAAATTACATAATATATAACATACTATAAATATGTCAGTAGCTAGTTCCCACTCAGAATTATTCATTGGTGTAGTTGGCTTCCCCTCAATGGACTGCTTGAATTAAGGGTTTTAATTATGTTTTGTTTGACAGGAAAAACCTGTCTAGTTGGTTCACAACATTTAGAAGTTATAACTAATACGGCACCTATACTACTTAATGCTTCTATAAGTTGTGAATTTTGCTGTATAGTACTACTACTACTACTACTACTACTACAGTAAACACCTTAACATAGGATATAAACCTGTTAACTGCCAGTGCCTCCAGTTGAATAACTGTGTGAATATCAACCCCCCTATTATTACGTCAAAAAATAGTTTTCTAGTTATCACTAGCTGAAGTGAGCTGTAGTTATACAACATATCTGAATTGTTAAAAATTTGTGATGCTAACTGTCCTATCACCTTTAGATGTATTGCTAAAATATAACAGTAAGAGCATTTTTTTGGTGTATGGATGGTCATTGGAAAATATGATGTAGGTAAACTTGAATAAACTCTGAATGCCCAAAACTATTGCTTAGAACACATAACAGTGAGAGTTCTTAACTGATGAATCAGTGCTTTTTAATCATTGCAGGTTTTTTTTATGACATTGCATACTTCTAGTTAGACCATTATATTAAATAAGCTAAATTAAATTCATCTGTTGAGTCTTGTCCCGATCTGTCTAGGTAGCTTGCTTTAATTAAAAGATAATTGTGAAGGCTGGCATTATTAGGGGCTAGGTAAACATACAACAAAGAACTATTTGGTATTTCTAGGCTGTATTTACACATCTATACTTGATAAAAGTGAAAATTTAAACCTATCCTTTATTTTTCTAGAAATCATCAGTTCCGCTCTTAAGCTTCTGTAAAGTACTGGCATTTGCTTCTGCCAATGGCAACTCATCCCGTAAGCCAACAACCCTGTTAAAAATTTGTCTTAACTGGAGCCTACCCCATCTGTTTCAGTTCTTAAACTTGGCTCTTATTGTTCTGTCATATTCGAAATACAACACAAAAAAGTCAGAGTACTCTATGTTATCAATCTCCTGGATAGTCTTGTAAACTTGTGGTATAATAATATATCATGCATTGCTATCTTCTTGTAACATTATAGTATTTATTCTGAATTTATCATTTCTTCTACTTATGTGCAGATTATATATAATGTTGAAAAAGCCATTAAGTTGATTTCTTTCTAACTACCTTTATTCTTCTGTTGCTCTTCAGAAGGTAATACTTCTGCATGGGTGAGATATTGCTACATGTTGTGCAGGTTGACAGCAGTGTTCTTTAATGGTAGTTAAGGAATTAGCTTGAGGTTACAGCCTCACTTATGGTGAAATGTGAATGACCAGTCACATGGTTAATGCTATTCATCCTGGTAACTAAGCAACACTGGATTTAATCAGTTTGGAACAGAATCTTGAAGGAGAAGAAGCTTAAAGAAAGAATCCAATAAAAATGTCAGTCTGAGACAAAGGTGACTTTCATGCTCAGAATAAAAATATTTTTCATCTTACAATTTCATATTTCACTTGTATAATATCTAGAACCTCCTAAATGAATACTAAAATTTAGTTTTTCAGTGAAACTTTGTTTCATGTCTTATATTCTTTACCTTAACACCAAGTATAGTAAAATCATCATTGTTCAAATGTGAAAATGTTAGAAGCTAAGGCTGATGGGATCAATAATTGTAATTGTCCATTACAATCTGCAATCATTCTACATTTTCAACTTTAGACTTCATCGTACCTTTCTTTTGATTTTATGGCTTTATTAATGAACTTTGGACCATTTTATTGTATGAAAACCAATAAATCACTGTTGGATGTTTCCAGTACAACTTAGGTTAAACAAATAATTGTTTTAGTCACAGACTAACCTAGATAGCTTTTCTATGTACCTAATTGAGCTAAAGTTTGTTCCTAACCATGAAGTTTCTAATTTTTACATCTTGATTACTTTAAAAAAATATGTAACTATAAATAAAAAATTTCATAAAAAACAATCAATTTAGCACTTACTCTAGGATTCAGGCTATTTGTTACCCAGATACATATTTTACTAACCCTACTTCTTTCTCCCAGCTGGTTGCCCGAAAAGTAATAATGCAGATTTAAAATATCCATCTTCAAAAACAAAAAAATATATTGGGCACTATAGTAGCATATCCCAAGACTACTATGATTTATCTGTCTTTCTAACTAAGCCATAAATAGGCTTAAAAAAATACTATTCAGAGCAATGACTTTACTTAACGCACACAAACCTTTTTTTTTGCAAGCTGCCATCTTTGATCACTAATACTAAATAAAAGAACTGAACATTACTGTACACTACACTATGTTTTTTCTATTGTTAAAGTTATGAAATCTAAAATGGAGAATTTATAGAGGGCATACATATCACATGACACAGAAAAGTGAAGGTTAAGTTTTTTTCACATTTCCTTTTGAAATAAGGAAATTAAAACATAGATCTTAGATCTGAATTTTTTGGTTACGCATCTGCAAATGATATTGTCAAATGATTTAAGGAAAGAACTGGTGAATTAAATCCCAGTAAAATGCTGCAAATATTGGTGGATAGACCTTCAATAAACTTCAGTTTTCTTAGCAAGCTGATAACAGACAGAAACACCACTGATCCTTACATGGTAGTTGTTCTCTGCACATTGTGCATGGGGCACTTAGCACTGGAATACAAATGTCTGGTTGGCAGGTGGAGAAGCTGTTACAGAGTCTATTGACCTGTTTGAGGATGTTCCAACCAACCGAGAAGATTTTGTTTTGATTAATAAGAGTAATGTTTTCCCAAAGTCATTTTGTGCTACCTAAACATAATGAAGTACGTATAGAAAATGCCAAAATCTAAGATCCCATCCTGTGAATCTTTAAAAACGGTTAGAGAGATTGCCATGACAGACTATCTAATCCTTGCCAAACTTGAGTTCCTAGTGTGCATTTCTAAAAGGCTAGAGCCATTTCTTAAGAAATACCAGAAAGACTGGCTCATGACACCTTTACTAGCATGTGACCTGGAGCTGCTCTTGTGTGGGCTTATGGGAAGCTTCATCAAGACTGACAAATTGACAAAAGCTACTTCTGCCACAAAGTTGTTCAATCTGGATGTCAACAAAGATGAGAATCTGAAATCTTCTAAACAACTTGATATTGAATTTGGAGCCAATAGTGCTTTGTAGAAGCTACCAAGAGAAAAACTGAGTGAGCTGAAAAAACTAGAATTCTTCACTCAGTACAAGGATATGATTAATGCAGCCATTGAAATCATTGAGAGATCACCCCTGAAGTATTCCATCATAAGAGGATTAATGGCACTAGATCCAAGGTACATGGTATCAAGTCCACCATCTTCATCTGAAAAGTTTTCCAAAGTACTCCAAAAGTTGGGTGAGTGCAAATGATTACAGCATGATGAATGTGACACAATTCTCTGCCAATACAGAGAGCTTGCTGCTACCTTACAGAGGGATGTTAAGGTTGACTGTGAATCATTCAATCCATCTGTCACAAGGCTAGTTAGATGTGTTCTACACTGACACCATCAGTCTTGACAAAAGCAACAGTTCCAAGAACTTTGAAGTGTTTTCCTAATGATGTTCACCCTGTCTCATGGCCAAGCATCTGTAGAAAGAATTCCTGATTACTCATCATCTCATACACAATTCCTTGACATCAGCCAAAATGAAGGATCCTGTGAAGTTCCATGTGCCTCCAGACTTCTTGTGGGTGAGTGATAATATTCATTATGTTATACTTCTTGTATCACACGACTTTATATTCTTGATATTAAGGCTTTGGAAGTTTAGCAGTGAAAGGTCATATCAATTAATTTGCACCTATTTTCAGCCATGCTAGGACTAGGTACACAATTCACTTTGAGGACACCAAGAAAGAAAAAGAGGCTTCTGAGTTGAAGAGAAAGGCTATTCAGCTACAAGAAGAACTACCATGAAGAAGAAGAAACTAGGCCCAGCATGGCCAAGTGGATAAGGCGTACGACTCACAATCTGAGGGTCGCAGGTTCGAATCCCCGTCCCACTAAACATGCCCTTTCAGCCATGGGGGCATTATAATGTGATGGTCAATCCCTCTATTCATTGGTAAAAGAGTAGTCCAAGAGTTGGTGGTGATGACTAGCTGCCTTCCCTCTAGTCTTACACTGCTAAATTAGGGACGGCTAGCGCAGATAGCCCTCGTGTAGCTTTGCGCGAAAGTCAAAAACAAAGAAGAAACTTGAAAAATCAGCAGCATAATTGCTCTCTGATGTAGACAAAAGGGCAAAGGAGGCTGAAAAGAAACAATAATTTACTCTTTTTAGTACTTCAAGTGCACTATAGAAGAAGGCAACAGATGTACTTGAGAATGATATACCCAAATATGACAATAAATTGAAGAACTAACACAGCATATTAAAACCTAGGATACCTTGAACTTCAAGGCTTGCTAAATATATGCATTTTGAACATTCATTATATGAGTTTGTTTGGATTTTATTGTGCAATTAAATCATTTGGAAGTATTGATTTTGTTTATTTTAAAATTGTCTGTATCAGTATGATTATTTTTCTTGTGTATGACATGTTTGGTCTGCAGCTTTGGTTACTAATCTTTATTCAGTAGTTTAATGTGTTCTAGATATTGTCAGTTGCTTTAATCAGTAAGAATTGCAATGCAGAACAACTAAAGACAGAGTCAAGGGAAAATGCCACCAACTCAAGGAATGTTTTTATTAATATGAGTGGGAACCATCTCTAGGAGAAGCCCTCTCCTGAATGTAGGAATTTTGCTAATGCTGCAAAGGTCCATGCCTTCTTAAACTGATGATGACTCAGAAAAAAATCCAACAGTATCTGGTGCACTGAGAATGGCTGTCCATGCTCTTTCCCAGTGGTGTGGTGTCTAGTGAGTCTCAGACCAGGTGAGGTAGTTTGTATATGACCCCCCAAATTTGCTCTAGCTAGAGTAATCCAATCCAAGCTTTGGTCAAAGCCATCTGAGAACACTGGAGAGAGATTGGAGATGGTGTTGGCTGAAATAGTCCTCCAGCTGGAGCTATTTTATAAAAGGCTACAAATGGCAAAGTTATTGGATCATGGA